GTGAGAGAAGGTGTCAGGAAGCAACCATGAGTCTACGTTGAAGCCTTGCCGATACAACCAAGGATCGACGTTTGTTAACCCCTCGGAAGACGCCATAACCAAAGGGAAGGAAGGAAGAAGAAGAAGAAGATAGTCGCAGTGTAGAGGAAGAGAGTTTCTAGAAGTTAGAGAGAATGATAGAGAGAGAGAGAGAGAGAGAGAGAGGTAGGAAAGAAATGAAATGGGGCCGAGGAAATATATTTAAATAAGGACGGCGTTTAGAGAAAGAAGCCATGAAACCGCGTTGAGCGGAGACAGAAAATGACACGTGTACTCGTACCGAACTTTGTTAAGCTCGTTTTTACGGTCCAAATCCATCTGTGTCAACATAAGTGATAAATTTTGCGATCAAAAGAGTGGAACTATTGATCTTGTTGAGTGTTTACAGGGTCTAAATTGCAAATATTATTAAGATACGTGGAATGAGAGAGAGAGAGAGAGAGAGAGAGAGAGAGAGAGAGAGAGAGAGAGAGAGAGAGAGAAGAGAGAGAGAGAGAGAGAGAGAGAGAGAGAGAGAGAGAGAGAGATCAGCTTGTTCCATTCGTTTCTCTTGAAAATAGTAGAGAAACCATTTATGTTCGAATTTTGTGATTAAATTTCGTGTTTTTTTTTGTATGATAGGGGAAACCTTATTCCATGTATTTTCATTGTAAAATTATGATAATGTGACCGTCCATTTCGATAAAAAACAAGCCATGAAGAATACGTCCGATCTCTTTCTTTTCAACTACTCATGTGATTTTGTTTTCTTGTTTGATTGAACAATTGAGAATCTTTGGAAGACTCCGTATTGATGTCTCAGTTTCGTGGCTGTCCTTTGTACATGTTTGTCAGTAGTTATCTTCTCTATAACAATCTTTCAGTTGGAAAATGGAAACTAATAAAAGTTATAACATTTTCGTGGATACTCCAATTTCTTTTTGTTTATCCAATATTCAGATCAAATATGGTATAAGAATATAAGATCTACCACGATATCCTAACATTGGTGATCCTATGCGAATATATAAGCTTTTACATGTATCCAATCTAATATATTAACCAGGACCCTACGCGGTGAGACATGCATATAAAGCCATAACAAAATAAACAAATAAATTTAATAAGGAGTTTCTAAGGTCAATTTCCAACGGCTGATTCATAATTAAATGGGACCAAACCAAAGATGAGAAAATTAGAATCCGTCGTTCTCAGCTTCGGTCTTTCTTTTGTACACCTTGATATACATCACCAATCTAAATTAGAGTAGTCGCATATTTCTGTCGATTCCTGGCAAAGCACTAAAGCTACAAATGGGAGACCTTCATTTTCTTTACTTCCTTTTTCGAATATACTATATTTTTTAGTAGGAAGAATTTGCAAATGCTAATTAACTATACATGTCGACAACTTCGCATAAATATATACATGTGATATCGATGTTTGGTTATTTTCATCTCCAGTCTAATATAGTAATATTTTGTTACTTTTACGTCCATAGTTGTTGCCTAGTTGTAATTTTGTATTTTGGCCGATGAATTTAAATGATTTTTGACAAGCATATGTCTGCATAAATCCTTGTTGATGATATATAATCTTCGCTATGCGGCCTATTGTTTTGCTAAAGTCAAATCCGACTTCGTTTCGCCTTTAACAAAAAAAAATCAATAAGAATTAGTTATCGTATAATATTCAAACGTATTTATCAGTATCATATTAGTAATACAAAATACTACAACAAACAACTCTATTTACAGCATGTTAGAACTAAGAACTTTCAGTAAGTTTTCCATCCATAAAACAGACTGACCATATTATAATTCTCTATCGGATTTAAGACTCTAAATGTGTGTTAAAAGAGCCCAGAGAGAAAAAGGAGCGTCTAAGTCTAAAGCATGTTTATCCAAATAACCAAACATGGAATTAAAGTAGGCGACTGGAATATATATCAGTTATCCAAACATGGTTGACTTCATTCTGCATTAAATACAAAATATTTAATTTCAAATCAATGTACGGTGGATTCTGGTTGGATCATTGACCTCTTTGTCACAACTAGTTGAATGGTCATTCCATTTCCGCATATCACGTAAAATTTGCTACTCAAACATGAACTACTATTAATCGATATGTCCAATGTCGAACTCTGTGAGACTGTGTTACTTCGAATAATGAAAGACAGATTATCAAACGACTGTAGATTCATTTTGGATCATAATCAGCCAATTTAATAAATATCAAATGAATATAGATTCATCTTAATTAAGTAGAAAACTAACATATCTGTGTTTTTTGCTAAATAAACTAATATTATTTTGAACACAAATATAAAATGTATAATTATGCTCTTAACTTCCTATATGTATCGTGCATGGGAATGAAGGTGGTGTCGTGGTGATGCTACGTCAATACGTCATCGCTTTAAAACGCGTTTTCACTGCCATCATGTTTGTTTTTCTGATCAGATCTATCTCGTACAGTGTCATGTCTCCTGTCCCATCTCTATAATTATTTCCACATATATGGTTTTCTTTTTCTCAATAATCCGTTTGCCTACTCACTTTTTTTTAATGTAATGGCTTGTGCAGTCTGTGAGTATGGGCTATGGCTTCAAAGATCAGTCGACTCGAATCTTTCTTTCTTTGCATTGTATTCGAGTGAACGTTCACTCGAATCAAAGTCACTAATTAACGAATACTAAAACGACTAACGCCACTCCCATGTATGATTTTTTGTTTCGGCATATATGAATCACGTTATGAATATAGTTCATCTTAAATTTCGCTTAGGGTACGGCTAGTTAAATTTATAGAGATAAAATAGTGAAGTGTATACCAGTCTAGCGGAAAGTAAATTCTACCACTTTTTCAGATTTTCAGTGTACTGTAAAACAAGAAACATGCATTGTTTTCTTTTTCCCTCTAAATTTGAGATGAGGAAATTAAAATACACTTTATCATACTCTAACATAACAAAAGACCTGGTGGGCGTATATATATACCACAAGCCTGACCACAAGCAGTCGATAAATATCGTCTAAGATAGTCAACTATTGACTCATTGTATCGACTACAGAATAATTACTACTTGTCCGAGTCGTGTCGTTTACAAATGGAGAAAAGATATATCAATACGGGAAATTATAGTATTATGATATTATCAATATTTCGACTGCATTATTCGGATTGTAAAGAAAACTTTTAAAATAACCGACAACGTAACTATAGTATCATCAAAATTTCGACTGAATTATAGTGTATTCGTCATCGTGATATCAAATTCAGACTATAATACATTTGATAAGACGACCCTAATTAATGAGCTTTAGTGGTTCATTGTTTACATATTCATTTTGTTGGTATACATATCATAATCGCATTTTTATATTTTGTTGGAAATTTCTTAAAGACTCGGATTATAAAAAGAAAAGAAAAACCCCGTAAAATACTAAAACAAAAAGTAAAAAGGTCAATAGACGCCAGCGGTGACGTAAGCGAATTTAGAGGATGTAATGATGATGAAATGATGATGAGGCTGAAGAAAGCATGTGATTGTGAGGAGGCGGTCGTGTCCTTCCTTCTTTTCACCGAAAGATTCGTCAATTATTTTATTCCCCAATAGTACTTTTGTACTCACTGACACTCCTGTCCTGTCTCCTCCCCCTAGTTTACTTCCTACTCGGCTCGGCTTCATTTCATCATAATTCATTAATTCATAAAGATACCTTGATTAATCATTTACACTCCTGTCCTGTAATAAATATCACAACTTGAGTTTTGTCTGTTTATTTTTCAGACTAGAATAGTCTTGTAGAGTATCCCTTTTTGCTAGCACAATCACAAAACATATTGTTTTCTATATGATCCGACTTCCAACATTTAAAACATCAGTGGGCCTTATTAGTAAATGGGCCTAATTGATTATCGGTAAAAAATTTAGCTAGGGCTCTCGGTCCTTCTCTCTGCGACTCGCAATTCCTGAAATTTGATCTCTAATCGGAATTGAACTTTAGTTACGTTGAAAGCTCGGAAATCGAATCTGTTTCTCGTTTTCTCATCCTCACGCTTAACTGAATAATGGAAGAAGGGTTGCAACAGCAGCAGAAGGGCTCCTCTGTTTATAATCAAGCAACTACGGAATATGGCTATGGAAGTTCGCTAGCCTACGATCAGTCCGAAGACATTGAATCTGCCGCGAGGAATGCTCTTCTCCGAGAACAAGTAAGTACATTACTTTTGTTCATTTCGATTGTAAATTTCGAAACTTTAATTCCCAGATTATGCCCATGTTGATTTGGTGTTGTGAATTTTTTTTTCAGGACATAGAAACGCAGAAGATCATACAAGGTCAAAGGTTCTGTCTTTCTCTTGGTTTGTCTTTTGTATCTTGCTGCTCTTCTTATTCTTAGGCAATTTCACTTGTCTTAATGTAGTTTTGCCTGAACTTTTTGTGTGTGTGTTTAATTGGAAACTTTTCCCCTATTTCAGAGAGGCTGGGACTTCAGTAGCTGAAGACAGTAACACCGACATTCTTCGCAATCGTGCTGACCCCAATGCGCTAAAGGTTCTTGATTCACTATTATTTTGATCTGTGATTAGTAGTATGGAGTTTTGTTGTGGAAGTAGAACCATTGTTTGATTCATATCCGTTTCTAATCTACACAGGAACATTTGTTAAAGTTCACTGCAAATCACCGGGCAGAAGCAGCGTCGAAGCGTGGGAGTGTGAGTACATGCGGAGAAGGTTAGTCTTAGCTCATGAGCTCAAATTATTTTGAAAAATTCACTAAACTAGTTCAAATAAGTGAATTTTTTTTACTACGACATCAGGTAATGTGGATGTTGGAAATGGTTATGGTATACCGGGTGGAGTTGCTTACGCTGGCCACTCCGAGAAGCCTGAACCCACTGATGCTTCAAACAATTTGCCTGAATATCTCAAACATAAATTAAAAGCCAGGGGAATTCTCAGAGAGGCTGCTACATCCAACACGCAACATGTAATCATCCATCTCTCACACAACACTGTTATCCTTTGTGACATATGTCTGCTATGACTAGACCAATTCATGTTATTATTGTTGTTAACCTTTTGACGTTTTGTTTGCTTGTGCTTCTTCTTATCCTTTTCAGGAACCAGCGGTTAGTTGGAATAGACAGACAACTTTACCTTTTCCGACAAATGCAAGCACCTTACCATTCGGATGGGTATGAATGAGATACAATTAACGTCTTTTCTTCTTCTTGGTTTTGTCTTTGTTTAACCATCAAGTGCAGAGCCTTTTTTTCTGCTAGCTGGCCACTTATGCTTTTGATGATGTGTTTATTAGTTGTATAGCAGCCGCTTACACGTGTTCTGTTTCATTCAGGTAGATGCGAGAGATCCTTCTACTGGTGCTACATATTACTATAACCAGCAGACCGGAAAAACCCAGTGGGAAAGGCCACTTGAGCCAACTCCCACCGCTTCAATTGCGCCACCTTTGGCTCCTAGAGAAGAGTGGATTGAAACACTTGATGAAACATCTGGTATGTGATTCTTACATTTACTCATCATTATGACTAGCTCACATGCAATGTTTGCTGAAAATTTGGATCTGTTTTTGGTTGCAATCCTGAGCTCTGAACCTTTTGATTCCTTATGCACACAGGCCATAAGTATTACTACAATACAAAGACACATGTATCGCAATGGGAAGCTCCACGCTCTTTACAGAAGCCCGCTACCACAAACATCGCTAACAACGCGGTCACTCAAGACACTGCTAGTGTGAAGAGCGAGCATACGCCCTCTCAGCTTCCTAGATGCAGCGGATGTGGTGGCTGGGGAGTGGACCTTGTCCAGAGCTGGGGTTATTGTGTCCACTGTACCAGGTCCATTCCACTGTCTTGCTATACTCTTTCTAGTCATATTGCTTGCATAATAGAGACTGCTCTTACATATTTTGAGGTTTATGCCTCTGCCATTAGTAAAGAGGACTGATACTTTATGAAAATGCAGAGTTTTCAATCTCCCAGAACGACAGTACTTGCCAGCAAGCTTAAACAACTTCACAAATGCAGGAGAATCTGGGCCAAAGGATCCAAATCAGAGGTATGATGCAAAAATGATCCTTCTAATCAGTCATCATCATTTGACTTCAGTCTTTACAAATGATATAAACATGTCAATGATTGAAACAGGTCCAGTTCAAAACCTCCCTTGAAAAAAGGATCAGGCAAGAAACGAGCTCATGCGGAGGATGATGATTTGGACCCAATGGACCCAAGCTCTTACTCAGATGCGCCACGTGGTGGCTGGTAATGTCCATAACTCTCACTTTTAACCACTTGATGTGAAACCAAAGCTTATTATGCTCTTAGGTTTGATTTGATCTGATTCCTTTTCGTCTTGTAGGGTTGTTGGACTGAAAGGAGTACAACCGCGAGCCGCTGATACAACTGCCACAGTAATGCCACTTGTTTTTTTTTTATATAGTTCATGTATAGTTGCTGCAGCTTCACACAGCTTCCTAACTTCAATGAGATTTATTAAATCTTGTTTTTGCAGGGACCTTTGTTTCAACAGAGACCGTATCCATCACCTGGAGCTGTGCTGAGGAGGAACGCTGAGGTGGCATCATCGCAGAAGAAGAAACCAGGCTCTCATTTCACGGAGATCACAAAGAGAGGCGATGGAAGTGATGGTCTTGGTGATGCTGATTGAGAGAGAGCTCCACATTCATCTTATAAAGATTGATATCGTCTCCTTCTTCTTCTGTCTGTCTGTTGCTTTCTCCATATATTATGTTGAGGAGAAGACTAGGTTTGTTGACTGGATAGTGAACACAAAACAAATTATAATCAATGTGAATTTTAGATTCGGTTTATGTATACACAGAATATTTATCTTCTAACCATCGACATTTGTTCGTATTTCAAGATGATGGCTTTGAAATAGCAAAGGCTTTCATTTTGTTGCTCTGCAAGTCCCCAAGTGAATTGCCACTCTTATTTTCTGGAAGCTGCAATACCAAAATCACACAAAAGCTCCGTTTCCATGCAGCTAATATAGACTGCTTGCCGTTTTAGAAAGAAGCATGTCTGTTATTTTGTAGTGTTGTTGTGAAAAGCAAAGTGTGCCGTTTTTTTGAGAAATACAAATAAAAATGTTTAACAAAAAAGTATTTCCGCTGCCGGGCTTCGAACCCGGACTCTCGGTTTCAACATCGAGAGTTAACCTTAGTGCTACAGCGGAGCTTCTGATATGGTGTGAAATTTAATTTATATATATCATTCAAAAAATACAAAATTATAACAAAAAGTTTTTTCCGCTGCCGGGCTTCGAACCCGGGATTCAAAGTGATGTCAGTTCATCATCTAGCCAGAGTGCTACAGCGGAGCTTTTGATATGTCATGCAATATTACTGTATATATAAAGACATGAAATACAAAATTATAGTAAAAATATATTCCGCTGCCGGGCTTCGAACCAGGGATTCAAAGTAATGTCTGTATAACATCTAGCCAGAGTGCTACAGCGAAGCTTTTGATATTTCATGAAATATTACCGTATATATATATCATGAAATACAAAATTATAGTAAAAAGATAATCCGCTGCCGGGCTTCGAACCCGGGATTCATAAATGAATATATTCAAATATGGAAGTCTCTCTAAACGGCAGCTAATAGGCATGCCATACATGTACTGTTTTCTGTTTGTAGTGTGAGTGCGTCTTCAATTTGTTGTTTTAAAGAAAAAGAACAAAACTGTAACAAAAAAACATTTGCTCTTTCGACCAAAAAAAACATTCGTTCGAACCTGGAATCTCAATTGATTCTAACAAAGAAATTTAACCAGAGGATTCTTCTTCTATCTTCTACGCTTAGATTCATGGGAAATCAGGGTTTTGATTAAAAAGTATTGCTTTGGCACTATAGTCTACAGACTATAACTATATTTATCATGTGTTATCTATACTGTTCTTTTTAAAAAAGGTTTTTAGTTGAGTTTAGTTAGTTTGACCGCAATGAGAAGATATGATGTGTAACTAAAGGAACCAATCAGATTCTGTGTACCCAATTTAATCGATAATTCATAAATTTACAGGAGAATGAATTAGTGAACGAGAAGTGTGTGTCATCTTTAATTACGCCATTGTTAAAAACATAAAAACTAACATAACCAAAATTCGGACAACACACTTTTTTTGCTTTCAGATCTTGTTACAGATTACACAAAAATCTGCTCTTTTTACTCTTTGTTCTCAGCTTTCATAATTCGTATAAAATTGGGCCAAAGCATCTCTCTCTGCTCGTTGACTCTCTGCTCTAACGGCGATGGCCGCGCTAACAGCTTCTTCTTCTTCTTCGTCTATTACTCTGCTCAACAAGCCTTCTTTACCTAAACGCTCTTCCTTCTTCTCCTCTAATTCACACTCTCGTCTTCTCCGATTCTCTGCTTCTGCTCATCCTCGTTCTCAATCCGCCGCCATACGCGCCGTTGCTCTCGAACCGGTGCGTTATGATTTTGCTGTTCCTTTCTTGAATTGGTTCACAAGTTTGTAAAATTAGCATTCAGACAGACAAGAGCTCATTTATCTCTTCAATGGTATATTCAGGACTTAAACAAAACTCCACCTGTCCAAATTGAGGAAACTCAGGTTTTCGCTTGTCCTGTTTGCTACGAACCACTTCTGAGGAAAGGACCTTCAGGTATCAACCTGTAAGTACCTCCTCAGATTATAAAGTTTGTTTCTTTTCATTTCCTTTTTTGTCTTCTCTTAAAAAAAGCTTCTTACTTTCTTTGTTTAAATCTGCAGGCAAGCAATCTACAGGTCAGGATTCAAGTGTGGGCAATGTAAGAAGACATACTCTAGCAAAGATGAATACTTGGATCTTACCGTCACTGCTGGTTTGGAGACTTTCAGTGAAGCCAAACCCATCACCACCGAGCTCTTTCGGTATGTACAACTTCAAATTCACAAACTTTATCATCTGATTATCTACTTTCAACCCTCTTAGCTAAAGTCTTGTGTTTGTGTAGGAGTCCATTAGTTTCATTTTTGTATGAAAGAGGTTGGCGAGACAACTTCAAGCGAAGCGGCTTTCCTGGTGCAGAGGAAGAGGTACATACATACACAACAACAACACCTTTGTTTTGTCTGATCTTTGTTGCTTGTCCTTATGGTCTCTGAAAATGCAGTTTAGAATGGCTGAGGAATACTTCAAAGAAGCACAAGGAGGAGTTCTTGTGGATGTTAGTTGCGGAAGCGGTTTGTTCTCAAGGAAATTCGCAAAGTCTGGCAAGTACTCTTGCGTGGTTGCTCTCGACTATTCCGAAAACATGCTTCGTCAGTGCAATGAGTTCATCAAGAACGATGATACTTTCGGCAGCTCGACTAATATAGCCGTTGTGAGAGCAGACGTCTCTCGCCTCCCTTTCCCTTCTGGCTCTGTTGATGCAGTTCATGCTGGTGCTGCCTTGCACTGTTGGCCTTCTCCTACAAACGCTGTAAGTTCTGATATAACTTCATAAGTGTTTTGAAAATATGTTGCAATGTTGTTCATTTGTGTTTTTTTTTTTTTTGTGTGTTTTCAAGATTGCTGAGATATGTCGTGTTCTGAGAAGTGGGGGTGTGTTTGTTGGGACGACGTTTTTAAGATACAGTCCTTCGACTCCATGGATTATAAGGCCTTTCCAATCGGTAAAAGAGAATGATGAGAATCAAAGTGGCTAAAATTCTGTTCAACTTCTTGGATTTTGATCTTTTATAGTTTTGGATTTTTTTTGGTTGCAGAGGATTCTGCAGAGCTACAATTACTTGATGCAGGATGAGATCAAGGATGTGTGTACGTCATGTGGTCTCACAGGTTATGTAGACATTGTTGATGATTCTTTTATCATGTTTACTGCTCGCAAGGCGTAGAGAGATTATGCTCTTTGCTCTCTATTCATGTAACTACAAGTCTCATATAGTACTTTTATAATTCACAGTACAAAAGAATTGTAACAAAATAGTTGATTTGAGTGAGTGATATTAATATTGTTGAGCAAACTCTTGAGTGAGAAATGTCAAAACCTTTGGTTGCAATGGATCTCTGAAGCTCTTGTAGAAGAAAACAGAACAAGATAACGGAAGCCATAGTTGATATGTAAGAACAGAATCCAAACCAATAACATCTTCTATTATTAAGACTCAAAACCCACAAAAGTAGTTTCATCAGCACAAAATTTAACTCAATCTTCAAGTTATAAAGAAAAGAAGAAATGAATAGAATGAGATGAATCTTGCTCTGGTCAGATCAGATCAAAACTGTATCTGTTCGAGTAGCCAAGCCTTAGACAGCTTCTGCTGTCTCATGCTTCTTCACGTCAGAATCTTTGTCTTTGCGACAGCGGAAATGGAAAAACTGAAGGAGAATCTGAAACAAAGTATAAAAAGAAGTTAGAACTCAGTGAACAAGAAAGGAATCAGAGACCATGAAGGTGATGAGAGAGAGAGAGAGAGAGAGATTGTATACAAGAAAATCAAGCACAACACATCCTCCTGCATCAACAAGCCATGGTAGATTCGGTGCAAGTTTTATCCATTCGACGCTGTTTACAAGTATGCTGCAACCAATAAACAAGAAGGCTCAAAATGAGTTTTAGAGGTTCCACTAGAGGTTCTTTAGATTCAAAGCAAGTAAAAGGTATCCATCTTCTTTACCTTCCTACATAAGTCATATTACCAACTAATGCAAAGAAGAACATCAATGGATTCAATCCCTCAACATGTCCTCTCCTCATATTGAGACATATTTGAGGAAGCCTCCCGCCCATGTAAATGGCTGCCATTGCCCAACCTAACAACATTCCTATTTTGCTGCTTTCTCCACCACCGCTATGTTCTGTTAAGTTGCCGCTAGTAACCTGACAAAGAACACAAATTTACACTAACATTTAGTTGTTTTATACATTTAAGAATCTGTGACTGATAAATTTCAGTTCGCTGAAGATCATAGACTTAAGGGTACCTGTAAAAGCTTTCTTGCTGCACGAACCACAAATACTCTGTCACTCTCTCCCATAGCCATAGTTCTTGGTTCATTTAGCAAATTAGGAACGTTGAACGTTCCAAGAAACAAGAATACCGAGACCTATAAGAGAGAAATCAAAATGTACAAAGATAATGTTCAATAATGAAACCACTTAGAATGGAGAAATCAAAACCATGGCACTGTGAACAAATCTAACCACGCATAGCAATGATTTGGTGGAAGGAGGTAATGAAGTAGGCGACGCATCCTCCTCGGGAAGCAAGGGCTCTTCAAGAGTTGGTTCGCTTTGACCACGAGTCATTCTCTGAGCTAAGACAGATCCTGCTGGTGGTGTATGACTACTCGACAGAGATCTTGCAGACCTAACAAAACCAAAACACAGAAAAACTTTTAACAAATTTCTTGCTTAAAGATATAAAATTTCACAATTGCTAGAGAATCTAAATGGCATTATTACGTGTAAAACAGTTCTCTTCCGGTAAAACTAGTCCGATGACTCCCAGGAAGCATACTGATAGGTGTGGTTTGACCTCCACCATGAGTAGCATCAGCGCAGCTATTCCTCCATCTTGCTGGAATTTTCGCATCGGTGCTTATGTTTGATAAACGTTCCGCCTCAAGCTACACCAAACCATACATAGCCAAGCTGTTTTAGTATTTACACATAAATAAACAACCTTGAGAATACTAATGAAATAGTGTATACCAACTGATTTCTTCTGTTCTTCAACCGAGGATAGATATGGCCATAATATATAGATTGAACAAAGAGAACCGATGTAGTCACTGTATACAACTGCAATAACAAATCGAAAACATATCATCAAGCAAAGAAACATTGTACAAAGATACAGCTGCTTCTACTCATTTTGTAAATTTACCAGTGCCATGTAGAATTGTGTTGGAAGCTGCAAAAGGGATTTGGAAATTCAGAGTTAGCTAAAGCTACTCAAGGTGAAAGAAATAAAAACAAGATTCTGAAAGATTTACTCACAGTAGCTGGTTCCATTAAGCAGCCAAGGAGATTGAAGATATCACTACACAACAAAACCAATCCTCATTAAACTAAAGTTCAGTAGAGGAAGAACATGAAAGAAGGTGATGTGTTTGATCATCTTACCCGATGATCCATGTGGTTAAGAAGGCGATAGAGAGACCTTCAGTTGATTTCTCACTGTAATTAGTCATAATCTGTGGTATCTCCGCAACACCCCAACTGATAACACTGATGACACCAAGAGATAGTGACAATTCATCTCTCACACTGCTATGGAGGAACATCGTTCTTTCACAGCAGCCACCAACAAAACTTCCTGTTAAACCCAAAACAAAATTAGTCCTCTGACTGTGCAAAGTTAACGTTTTTATTCGATTGAAAACTAGAAAGAAGATGAATAGGAAATGGTTTGTAGAACAGCGAATCTAATTCAGTGAATAATGTATTTAATACAGATACAGACCCCACAAAACTGAATATTCCCCCAAAAACCCAAATCATCCCAGGATTCAGATACGATGGAATTAATGTTCTTTCCAAATTTAAAGCAACAGAATCGAGAAACGTTACACACAATCTGGTTTTCGACATTCACCTACCCACACCACCATTGTTTACATTTCTATTTGTAAGCTGAAATATTCGGTTTTTCATTCAAAAAACAAGAGAAAACGATTCACTGATAACTTTACATTTACGAGACACGAATCAATACGAGAGAAAGTTCTTACCTTTTCCAGAAGAAAAGAGGAAACCCGTGATTTTCGACGGGCTCTGCTTTTGTTTTTCTTCGAGGAATAATCAGGGAGATTCCAAAGGAGAGGCCTTTATGCGTTTAGAAGGCTGGTTTCGTTTGTCTTTTTGTTTATTATGGCGATATCATCTTCTTCTGGAAAACACAAATCACCACCCCAAGAGTTTTCTTCTGGCAAATTCCAAAAACTGAAAAACCAAAAAAAATATACAGAGAATATTTGTTTTCTGTGGTGTTATTTTATTTCATTTGTTCGCATTATTGTCGCTAAGCTAGTGCATTTGGTTTCGATATTTCCTCTTGGAAAGTGTTTTACTTTTTTTATTGGAAACAATAAATTAATATCGTAATTGGAAACCAATCGAAAAGCACCCAAAATGAATATCATATCATCTACTGCTAATAGTGGAAAAATGACATACAAAAAGTAATCAGTACAAGAAAAAATGTTGAGCAAAAATGTTCTCCAGCCCATTCATAATCTAGTAAACTTTTTTTTTATCTATAAGCTTAGTGTAATTAGTAGCATTATAACAAATCTCATAAAGTTTTAGAGTGGATACTTTTAGAAAAGAAACAATAGAAAACAAATTGAAGACAACCAATCAAAAAGTGCCGGTTGGGCGGCACCAAACCACCAATTGGCAATTGCCCTCCAAGTTGGCCAGTATCCTCCACTCTGAGCAATCACTGCCTTTATTGGTTCAAGAATTTTTAAAACCTGGCTAAGCTAATCGGTCCGGCTCAGGGGTCATACATTTCAAGTAATAAATCGATTTCAGATGAACCAAAAGTCAAATGCACATATGGGCCCCAAATAAGTCCATAGATGTGATAAGTAAATCGAAGGCCCAATTTGACAAATACTGCATTTTTTTGTTTCTTTCTCATAAGACGAGATTAATGCGCGACTTCACACGTAAGCTTTCATTCAATTCAAGCCGCGTCGCAGTGTTTGTAATTAAAAGAGGAAAAATCAATTTCAGAGAAGAAGAAGCAGCAATTGCAAAACCCTAGACTCCATAGGACTCTCTTCGATCAACCTTTGAAACCAACGATTCCGTCATGGCGATTAAGAGAAAGCTCGAATCTGAATCCAACGAGTCGTCAGAGCCTCCGCAGAAGCAGCAGCAGCAGCAGCAGCAATGTAAAGAAGAGGATCCGGGAATCAGAAATGACGATAATCAGAAACCCGGCGATGTAAAAATTGAACGCGACGGGGTAGAGGAGGTTAAAGGAGATGTCGAGGTTGATACGTCTGGTGATCAGACGGAGGCGGCGACGTCGTCAGGATCTGGGAATCGGGGAGGTGAGGAGGAGGACGACAATGAGCCAATCGGAGATCTATTGGAACCGTTTACAAAGGATCAGCTGTTGGTTCTTCTCAAGGAAGCGGCGGAGAGGCATCGCGATGTGGCTGATCGAATCCGGATTGTGGCCGATGAGGATTCCGTTCACCGTAAGATCTTCGTCCACGGAT